AATAATAATAATAATAATAATAATAATAATAATAAAGTACATGATTTCTTTCTGCCAGAGATGATATAATCTTTTGGTAAGTCACAAGCGCGAAGACAACGCATAAAATATTCTTTAATTAGGGACATCTGACATTTCGGACCAAGCTGGGTCCGTCTTCAGAGTACAGTAAAAAAAGCCACAATGTTTTCATTCGGGCCTGGTTGACCCTCATGGTTAATGCTGCCTCCTTTGCTTTCTTGTCTTAATCGCCCGCTTGATACTTGCGATCCATGTACCGCTGACGTCTGTTCCAAGGTCACGATTGATCCAGTTGGTCGGATCAATAACGCTTCCTTGACAGATATTGTTGTTCCCACGCGGCACCTTTCATTCTGTCCCACAATGTGTTGTGTTGGTGGGTAACAGCATGTTCCACAATGGCGTAATTTTTTTTGCGTTCTGCCTATACAAGTTCAGGGTTTTTCGTCTGTCTCCGACCTCTACCGATTTGCTGTTGATCCCTTTCTCTAGCGTCAGCGTTCTTTCACCTGATGCGATTCCTCATGTGATCTGTCTTCCTTTCTTCAACATTGTTACTCGTTTCGCCTATGTAAACCGTGCCACAGGAGCACGGGAGTTGGTACACCGAGCCAGCTTTCTGCACCTTAGGTTTCTGAGTCTTGAAGTGATTTAGTCGGCTACGTGGATTTGCACCAGGTTTGAATACCAGATGTAGATGTTGTTATCAGGGTAGTGGCGAGACACCCTTTGTTTTGATAAACTTGCCAAGCCTTTGTTAAACGCCTTCATCGGATAGCTGTTCTTTTTTAGCGTCGATCTGATGTGATTTAGTTCTTGGCGAAAATCATCATCTGTTGTGCATATCTTCCGGCCTCTGGAGAAGTGTATTAAGGACACCTTTCTTTACGCAATCTGGATGATAAGAAGGGTGATGTAGATACCTGTCAGTATGCGTCTATGATGCATATTGAGCTAAGATGCAAAGGACCTTTTCAGAGCATCCCTGTCGAAATTGTAATTGATCTAGTCGAAGGATAACTGACGAAAGACCTGGCCTTAAAAACAAAACACCTTTCTCTATAACTTCGATTCTTAAGTTCCTCAGGATATGTCTCACTGGTTTCAATTGCTTTCAGTTCAATGCCTAGTTATTTCGTCAATACAAAGGAATCCCTATGCGATCATCTTTGTTCTCTGTTCTCGCTGATATATTTACGGATCATTTAGAACACTTGGCCTTCACTGCGGGTGACAAAGATGACTATCCAGCGTTTTTCAAAAAGTATGTCGACGACATATTTGCCCTGTGTAAAAATGGAACTGAAGCGCCGTTTTTGTAACATCTCAACAGCCTGTTCCCCAAGCCTCGTCGTTTTCACTATATTAGATAGAAGAAAACGGCACCCTATCTTCATAGATGTGCAAGTTAAATAGAAGGGATATTTGACCACTGTGTTCCGCAAGAAGACGCATACTGACAAATATCTACATCACTCTTCCTATCATATTGAGTAAAGGAATTGTGTGCCTTTCATGAAATGGCCACCCACCTCGTTCGTGTTTTTCGAGTATCATCTATATTTAAATGTTTAGTCTGTTGTGTTGAGTCGCATTACGTTTCTGGCGACTGCACATTCCGTTTCAGGACGAAAGTTCTCCACCGTTGAACAGGTCGATATGACCCCGACGCTTTGTCTGTTACTGAAGCTTCCACTACCTGCCAGGTCTGTTGGCGTGCTTCTACCTGGTATTGAAGAAATTATGATGTTTGATGAAAAAGAAAGGTGCTTAATTCATGTAATCAACGCGTGCCAGCTTCATCATGTTTGTCTCGCTAAGTCACGATCATGCAGCCCAAGTATGCAGCTACCGCCGTCTTCAGTACGAACCCCCTCTACATCAATGGACTGTTTTAGATCTTACATCAGAATTGCACTATTACTGCAA